ATATATATATATATATATATATATATAAATGTGTGTGTGTATATATACATAAAGTATATTTTTTGAATGTATATAACTCAACCTGTGAAAGTTAATTGATGCTTTGTTGTTGTTTTTTTGCCTTGGTTCGTTTGTAAATTGCTCATAATTAAAAATAAAAACTAATGTGCACAAGTGATTTTATCACATTCAGATATACATTTCTATGTGAAATACTTTACTACTTTACTTTAACTAAGGAAAACAGCTGAACATGTTTTTTAAAATTACAGCTTTAGCTCGATTTGTAAATAAAAAATATACATTTATATTTTTACCTGTCTAAATAAAGGTTGAATGAATGACATATATATTTGTATATATATACAAATATATGTTTTTTTAAAATAATTTTTTAAACAAAGTAGTAAATCTAGTTGGAGAGAAAATATAAAAAGCAGACACGTGTCCAATAGATTTTATTCTGCAGTTTCATTACACCATGTTAAAGCAGAACAAATATATTTTCTCTCTGCTTTTACATGTACAACACGAGTATCGAAACTAAAAGCATTAAACAGATGTGCGGTTACATTTTACCAATGAACCACAAAATAATACAATTACAGTCAAAACAATGAAGGTAAACACATGAAGAAAACTAAACCCTTAACACATCAAAACCTGAGGCTGCTCTAAAAACGGCTGCATACTGACTTTCATGTTATACAAAGCAAAAGCATTCTTGAGCTGACGAGTCATTTCTCTGCATGTCTGCAGCATGTTGAGGTCTACAAGGAGGTACATGATGCAGAGAAACCAAATCATGTTCAGTCACTTCAATGAGGAGTGATTCCAGGGTCCTTCTACAATAATCTGAGGTTTGTTTACACTTTCACTGTGTAAACCCAATACACACATGAAGACTAATGCACACAACTGCCTGTTTTACTGAAAAAGTGTATAAAAAATGTCTAATAAGTCATCAGACTGTAAACTGACAGTCGATTTTAGCAGGGCTACAATTTTATTTGATATACATACACGTTATTTGGCGCTCTATAAATAAACTGAATTGAATTGAATATTAAACAAAACAAAAGATGTTGCCAAAAAAGTAAATAAATTCTATTTATTTAATATTGTGAAGTGTTTTCATAAGATTTAGGTACTATCTTGCTTTATATAATAAATAATACCTCCTCTAAAATCAACTATTTTAGTAATACTTAAAGGAGTATTAGTATGTATTAATTCACTAGATATAAATGTAAGGTGACAAAAGCACTTGATAAACAGTTTGATGGAGTGTACATTCAAGTTTTCTAGCTGCAGGTTATTTGAAATGTTTTACGATATTAATTTCCCTTGGTTTAAATCTTTATTTTTCCCTTTATCAAATATTATCTTGTTTAGTCAAGAAGTATTTTTTTTCTCTGCAGTATTCCTTATACCACCTGAATCAATGAAAACACCAAAAGTTGACCAAGATGTGAAAAAGGCAATGTGGAAATTTAGACACCATCTGAATAACATGTACCAGGTAAGTCATGTGGTGGGTTATAAGCAGCTACAAGTACATGTTAAAGGAGTAAAGATAAAGTAAATACAGATATCTGCATCAGGAGTGTAAAAATGTTACATCAATTTCCAATTATTGTGTTACCAAGATCTAGCAAAGTTCACGTTACAGCACATACTAACAAGGCCAACCTATAAATAGGTTAAACATAACAAAACATATAGGCCCTACAAGGTCTTTGACACAACAGCCATGTTAAATAAATGTATTTTAATCACAAACAGCAAACCAGTTCTCCTTGCAGAACTTGTGTTGATGAGCATTTTATTTATATGTATATCATTTTATAATTTATTCTAAAAGTTTTTGCTTGAAATAAAATCTTGCAGCTTTTGGCTTACGACTTTGCAAATCGCATTTTAACAAATTTAACACTAAAACCAATTTCCACACTGCCTGTTTTCACTACCAGGTGGCACTAGACATTTCTGAAGGTTTACATTCTCAAAGTAGAAAAATAACTTTAGGGAAAAAAAAAATTACTACCACCAAAGTATCCTGATGCATGCGCAATAATCCAGGTGGATAAATCTAACAAGGGTAAGTCTAACATTGTTAGATACCACAACAGTGGTCTTCTTTTCAAGTGTCACTTTCCACCCTAATTTTAAAGATCTTATAAGAGTGATTTGATTCAAATGCATGATTAGACCAAAGTCATACCTTTTAAAGAAATTTCAATTCGAGTGGAAAACAAACTAAAGAAACAGGAGACCCACTTTGACACCTGGCTACCGTAGAGATCTGATCTTTTAGCTTGTTTTAGGACTAAAGCTGACATTCGGCCAGTCGTAGGTATCAGGCAGGAAGGACTCGTAGTTCGTGTTCCACACAGTACTACGTACAAAACGATTCTTGTCCTGGGGCTCGGGGTAACGGAACGCCATTCCTTTAGCATAGACGTACTCCATCACCTGCAGGGAAACAAAAATCTTCAGTCATGGAATTAAAAAATAAAACAAAGCTGCAAAGATTTCAAATTAATCTGACAAGAATATCTACAGCCATTAGAAGAAAGTACAAAAATTCAGAGGTCTTACCTTGATGCTGATCTGAATGGAGACCTCTCTGATGTTGGAGAGAGGAGGATAGAGTCTGCCCTCCTTCAGTTCTTCATCCATCACCTGTTCAGCAAGTGACTGGAAGGAGAACAAACACGCTTTTAGACTAAACCTTCATTTCTACAGCCTCTCATAAAAAGAATACACATTTAAAATACAATAATCACTTTTAACATTATCCACATCAATATGAGGTCATTCATTTTTTGTGATACACAATAAGATCCCATTTAAAATAACTGATAATCATGATAATCATGCACATGAACACAGTTTCAATACTAAATAAGAATGTTTGGTGTAACTGTATAAAGGCATGCATAGCTCAGAGAAAGAGGGACGAACAGACGGATCAGCCTTTTAAAAGCTCTTCTTCTGAAAGCTGTTAGGCCAGACTCTACAGAGAGGAAAGGGAGACGGTTAAAGAAGGTTTACATAAGCATACGCACACAAGGCAGAGTCAGCAAGAAAAGGAAAATGGGGTGAAGGTGAAGCTGGCTTGAACAATGAATGGATAAATAATTGAATATATTTGAATCATACTTTGGCAGCCTCTAAGAATACTGTATCACTGATGTGCCTCACTCCACTCAGAATGACAGCCAGGGCCACACCTAAAACACAAAACAAACATGTAACAAATCATTTTCAGGGTGTTGGTCTGTAATGTAACCACAGCACAAACACTTTGTTAAATATATTCGGACCATGCAACTTATTGATAATCTTTTATGTTCACGACATGTGCTGACATTTCACATTCACCTGGAAAGATGTAAGCGTTGTTCCCTTGTCCAGGTGTAAAAACCTGACCGTCACTCAGAGTAACACGACCAAATGGGCTGCCACTGGCAAAAAGACATCGACCCTATGAACACAGGAGCAGAGAAGTCAGCGTTAGCCAGGCTGCGGAGTTCAAGTTTAGATTGTAAGTTTAAATGATAAATGCGTACATCAGTTAGTGTGTAAGCGTCCTCTGCTGTGCACTCTGCTTTGTTTGTTGGGTTGCTCAGGGCAAAGATAATGGGTCGGTCATTGTGCGCTCCCATGGCCTTGATGACATCATGGGTAAAGAGAGGTCCAGCTCCCGCCACACCTGGATAAAGAAGAGACGTTTTAATGCTTCAGCTGAATCTCCAATTCAAGAACACTGAATATTGGCAGGTAAACTAAAAGAAATGCGGAACGTTCAAAAAATATAAAATAAAGAAATGAAATCTTGATCACCAATGATCGCTGTGGGTTTGATGGTGTTGACGGCATCCAAGAAGCTCTGTACCTTTCCAGAACTGTCGTGGACAAATGCCTCCTGGTTTGTGTCGGTTTGTTGTGCTCGGCCCTAAAGTAAAACATAAATACGAAACATTTCGAGCTTGACTACCAGCTAGTGTAAGCACTCACATTGGGACTGTATCTCTCACACACTGACCTTCACAAGCAAACCGTGCGCATCATACATCCAGATCTTGTCTCTGGCTGCTGCTTGGCTTATCCCTGACTCCATCATGGCCATCACAATCAGGTTGGCAATTCCAAGAGCAGCCTGCGAAGGACTTGTTTAAGACAAGAGTATCCAAACACCTACACCATCATTTTCTAATAAGTCAAAGCAAATCAACAACTTGTGCTTTGGCTATTTTTGAAGCAGCATAATTCTTAGGTTTGTTGCAATAAACAATAAATCAATTAAACACACGATGAATTAAAATGAGGTCGATAATTTTCATTTATCGGCTTTATCGTTTCTTCATGTCTCTCTCTCTCTATTGAAGACACTGGATGACAAAAGGCTCAACCCCGGTGCTCTTCACTGACCCCTCCCTTTCTCATTTCACTATCGCGTCAGGTTGCCAGCCAAGGTGCATCGTCTTGTACCTCTGCAGCATTACAGCCCCGTGAGGCGTTAGCAAGCTAAAGAAACAATATTTGATATTGGGGGGAAAAAAAACTAAATGGAATTGGTTTCTAAGTCGAACACACCAGCAGCAGTGTGGGAACACTTCAGATTCAAACCAAATGACCGAGGCGAACCGCTGAACCTTTGTGAGTTGGTATGTCACATTTGTCATAAAACGGTAGCAACTAAGAGCAGCAATACAACCAACTTGCACCTGCACCTTAAGCACGAGCATCCAAAGCAGTTTTGTTTATAAAACTGGTAGTTTTCCCGTCTTCTCTATATAAAACTAATGATTATTATTTTTTGAAGGGCAGTTTAGTTTACAGACTTCATAATCCGAACTGTTTTGGATGATTGTAGTTTGTATTTCCATTTTTTTTTTTTTTTTTTGTATTTAGTTTTTAATCAAGTGCAGTAACGGAGACTGAGAGTCCATTTTATTTTTGTTTTTGTTTGTTTTGTTTATTTTCCAGTTCCAGTGTTCTTTTTAAATTAAAAAGTCTATTGATCTTTAAGAGGATGTACTTGCATTATTATGTCATTATCATTACATTAGTTTAAAACGGTCTCCAAACAATATTATCATTTTTTTGGCAATCATTTCTGAGACAATTAATCGCCCAGCAAAATTTGTTATCATGACAGGCCTAATAATTCTTATTGAGAGAATTGACATTTTTAAATGGATTAAGAGCCAACATACCTCTCCTGCTCCCAGGAAAAGCACACGATGTTCAGTGATGGGTTTACCAGTGGCTCTCTGAGCTGCCAACAGACCAGCAAGAGCTACAGATGCAGTGCCTGGAAACATGTACAGGTATACAAGAGTAATACAACCCAACATGAAAGCTTTTGACAATGTTTCTTTCTAGGTCTTATAGGTCTGGTAACTTAAACGTTTATAATTCTTAAATGTGATACTTGAAATGCATGCCTAAGTACTTGCAGACATGTTTGTAACATCCTTACAACTGAACAAGACAGAACCCTAAATATGACTAAACACACTAACTGAGTTTGAATTTCACTGATTTGTATTAAACTTAATCTCATTATAAATACCGGTAAATGTTCTGAAAGTGCTTTATAAGTAAAGTTGCATTGTATCATTGTAAAGTTTACATTTTTTTTTACATTTTATATTTAATGTATTTTCAGGGATAAGATCATGGCAGCAATATTAGCTATGTCTGAAAACAAAAAGCCTAAATCAAAACACAAAGGACGACAGCTAAGCTGTTGTGGAAGTTGTTGGAGATTGACGAGTTTACATGAGGGACCCCCGACTCAGACATCAATGAGCACTGACAAAACTAAAAGGCCACCCAAGAAGAAAGTAGCAACAGCAAAGTCTCAGTTCAAATGTTAGCTCATATGACTGAATAATTTGAGTGAATTCCCAGTAAAGCTGCTTTCACTCACATAGTTCTGATTTTGTCAGAAAGTAAAAAAAGAATCAATCCAGAATTGGAAATTCTGACAGAAAAGCAGCCCTTTTAGACAAAGTTTAATATGCAGCCACTTTCAAGGCACCATATAATTACCTCTACCTACTGTAGTGTATGTTGATGATCAGAAAGAAAAAGCAGAAACGCCATAATGTTTTGCTTCAGGCTAGCACTTCTTCTCTTCTACCACTCTGCAGCCGAGACTCTCCGGCGGGAGCTCGCTCCCACAGGGTACATACAAAACAAGACTCAAATGTGGTCAAGCCACCAGTTTTAATGGCCAAAGCCTGAGCCCTCAGTCTCAGTCCCCAAGTACATATTCTCACTTTGTACACAGTTAATGTCAGATCATTAATGCTTGCTTTCACAAGTGTGAAACAAAAGTACATTTTAAAATTACCTACCTGCTTTGAAAATAGTGAAAAGGCCAGATTGTGAATTATTCATACTACTGTTAAGATTTGTAGGTTTTCTGACAAAAAAAGACCATATTTCAACTTTAAATGTACTGAATTTCTCTGGGTACTCCGGTGTTTGTCCCTATGTGGCCCTGTGATGGACTGGGTCTATCCAACCTTTAGCACAATCACTGCTGGACATGGGCACTAGCTCCCTGTAACCCTGAACAGAACATGCAGGTAAAGCAAATGAATGGAATTACAAAAATGTGGAATTCTCTTTACAAATGACACACTGAGCCAGTAAGAAGAACACATGAATACAATAAAAATACATTCAAAAATATAAATGATGTTGAATACACAAGTTAAATTCCATTGAGCTAATGAAAGGTAAATGTGTAAACCTTGAATATCATCGTTGAAGGTGCAGTATTTCTCCCTGTACTTCCGAAGGAAGCGGAACGCATTGTGATTCCCAAAGTCCTCAAACTGGATCAGTGTGTCCTGCCCATATTTTTCCACCACAGCTTCCATAAACTCGTCAATCAGATCATCGTACGCTTGAGTGCGGTCTCGCTTCTGATACAGGCCCATGTAAAATGGATCCTTAAGGAGAGTCTAATGGGAGAATAAAGACAAACGTGACTACAACGCATGCTTTTCACCAGAGCACTTAACGGTACACATGCAGAGGAAACAAAGTCAACCTACCTCGTTGTCTGTGCCAACGTCTATCACCACAGGCAGACATTTCTCAGGTCTGATACCTGCACAGGCAGTGTACAGGCACAGTTTTCCAACAGGTATGCCCATTCCATAACAGCCTAGGTCCCCTAAACCTAAAATACGTTCTCCATCAGTTACTACCACCGCCTTTAGAAAAAGAAAGATAGAGGGTGAAAAAGAAACATTGACAATCTATCATTGCCAGGTAAAGGTGGATGACAACTGTCAACGAACAAGTCTTTCTGTAAATATTTAAACAGATTTTAAAGTACAGGTATAGATATTAACGTTGTCACTTACATAAAAAAAATGCATTTTCACTTAAAACTGAAATTATTTGACTGGAATCAAGAGGAGATGCAAAACTTTAGGAGCATGTCTTGTATGTATAAGCTAAGAAAAAAAATACTATGATAAAGGTAAAGTACTTACTGCTACATTAGTCTCTGGCCAGTTGTCCAGAATGGAGCGAATATGTCCTCGGTCCAGAATGGAAATGAACAAGCCTCTGATGAGAAAAATATACAATGTTCTGTTTTAAAGTGCAAAAGATGCAGCATGTCTGCAAGAGATAAGATAAAAATACAAAAAATAACTTTTTTTTACATCTTTGGGAGCTACACCAAATGCTTACTTGGGTCTCCTAAATATGTGTCCATAGTGTGTGCAGGCCAGGCCTACAGTGGGAGTGTAGACAATTGGCATCAGTTCTTCTATGTCTTCCATCAACACCCGATAGAAAAGCCTCTCATTCCTTTCCTGAATGCCCATCAGGTAGATGTACCTGTGCAGAAAAGAAAGGAAATTAGAAAAAAAAATTAAAAAGGTCTATTTTTGTTCTTTATTTTAGGAAAATCAAGTCCTTACTTCTGCAAGGGATCTGACATTTTCTTGAGATTATTTTGAAAGCGCATGGCCTGAATGTCTTGAGTTTCCACTTTAGGAGGCAACAGACCATGTATCCCTAAAATCTGTCGCTCCTGTAGTGTGAAGGCCATGCCCTGTGGAGAGAAGCACACACGAAAACGAGGAATTAAAAATCAAGATTGCTAAAATGGCAAAATCCAGTGAACATTAAGAAGTTATCTAAAAAAGTTAAATCTGGTCCTCTGGACATAAAAAAAAAAACAAAACAAAGCAAATCAACAAAAAAATGTAGAAACGTTTCGTCTCTCATCCG